TCTTTCTCCTCCTCCTCCTCCTCCTCCTCCTCCTCATCCTCGCTCCCTCCCTCTCCCTGTCCCCTGGCCGGCGCAGCTCCCCTTTACACGATTGGGTGAGGCTGCATGTGTGTTTCTTTGGTCTTGCTTAACTGCTGCCTCCAGCGCATCAGGATCGGGATCCCTCTCTCCTGCCCCTCTCCCGCGCGCGGGGCGCTGGCCAAGGGGGGGGGGAGAGGGCCCGGAAGCATGCTCTCTGCTCCGTCCTGGGGCTGCCTCTTCGGAGGCGCCTCGCGGGCCCGCCTCCCGAGGCCCTCCCGCGGCAGCCTCGCGGCGGCGCCCCGCCGAGGTGGCTCCCCGTGGCGGCGCGGACGGCTGCAGCGACTCTTGAGCTCAGGCCGCCTCCTGCCCCCTGCGGCGGGGTCGCGGGGGCGGAGGCCGGCGCCGGCGCCGCCCCGCCGAGCAGCGGCCCCGACTCCGGGTGCGCCGCCTATGTTGGCCGAGGCTCCGACTCGGAGAGTTCGGCCCGGGAGGCACCCCCGAGCTGTGCAGGCGGCCGCAAACATGGATCACCGGGGGCGTGGATTAGCGGCGGGTCTCGTTGCCATGGGGAAGCGTGGATTCCCGCCGCCGAGCGGGGCGGCACTGGCCGGCTGATCCATGTTTGCGCGTCCCCGAGCTGTGCACAAGCGTGGGGCGGGAGTTCCCGCCTCAGAAAAGCAGGGCGGATATTTCCGCTCAGACATGGCGGAAGCTGCGACGGCAACGCGGGGCGGGAAATTGACGCCCACAGAGGAGCTTGAAACGTAGGGCGGACATCTCCGCCTTTTTTTCGAGATCGCGCAGAGCACGGCGGGCTTGAAGTCGGGGGAGGGGGCTCCCTCTGGTACAGTGGAGACCCGTGCCAAAAAACACACACGCACCCTGCTTGCCTCCAGGGTGCCCTGGCTTTCTTGGGCTTCGATGGTTTTGCGATGGAAGGCGCGACGCTCCCACACCAGAAATCAATGGACGGCCTGGGCTCTCAGGGTTGCGCTTCTTGTGGAGGGCTCCCTGTGGTCGGGCCTCCACTGCAGCACGGCGCCCGCAGCAGTTTTGGGGCTCAGACCTCCCGCTCCCGTGGCTGGGCCGGGGAGGGGGGGCGGGGGCCCGCCCCGAAATCCGACGCAGCGAGCACAGGGGCCCCACGCGACAGATCACGGCGGGAGCCCTGGACTTCGCATTACCGCGGCACTTCATCGGGCCGGCTCGATCTGTGCGGGTCCCGGGGCTCCAGAGCCAGGCCCCCGGCGTCGTGATCGGCTCATGCTGTGGACCCCGAGGGCTCTGCAGACCCCTTCCCCGGGACCAGCTTTCCGCCCCGAGCCTTCTCTTGGCGGTCTCGCGAGGGCCCGTCAGTCGTTTTGTGGCGGTCTCGCGAGGGCCCGTCACTCAGGGCCCCCAGGGGCCGAACACGGCCAAACGCCACCTGTCACGATTTGTTCATGGCCCGAGGGGGTCTGCGAAGAGGGCGAACTCGCCCGCGGTGTTCACAACCTCGGCGGCGAGCGAGGGGGGGACGTGAGAAGCATAAGGCCTTCTCAGAAGCCCACGCGCCTTCTGAGAAGCTTTTGCCTGTCTTCGGGGAAGGCTTACAGGAAGCTCCTCAGCAGGCTGGGGGACTCCCGCGCCCTCTGAGAAGGCCCGCCCCTCGCTCGCCGCCGACGACCGCAGCGCCTGGATCTCAGGGGGCGCCGGCGCCGCCCTGCGGGCCGGGCGGGGCCCCCCCCCGCCCACCCAGACCCCCCCGACACCGTGATCTCTGTCTCGCAGCGCGAGGAGCCGCTCCCTGCAGCGGCGCTCTCCGATCCTGCCCCCGAGGGCCATGCCGGCAGGCGCCGGGCGGCCGTGGAGCGCGCTGCTGGTGCCGGGCCAGCCCGTGGAGCTGCCGCGCCTCGGGGGCGCTGCGCTGCGGCTCACGCTGGCGGCGATCGTGGGCGCGGAGGGGGAGAGCGGCCAGGACTGCAGGGGCTGCGGAGGTAATTACCGACACTGCCGTTGAGTCGGGCGTGTCCCTCCTATCAAGGGCAGAAAAAGCGCCCCCACCCCGGTTTGCGAGGCGTTTTGCGCTGGAGCTCCTGTGGGCTGGCAGGGAAAACCCTGCGTGATGTGCCGCGTCCTGGCGGCTCTTGGCGTTGGGGGTTCCCAGGAGGTTCACAGACCACGCATTTGTAACCCAGGGTAGGGTCGTTTTTTCCATCCCTCATTCTACAGGAGGAATGTTCAAAAATAGTAGCAAATAGTCTGGGAGCGATTTTTCTACCGTGCTTTGGCCATTCTGGCGTATCTGCGGGCTGTGTTTTATTTTTCGCCCCACATCCGCCTGTGGGGGGACATGCCCGACCTGAAATCACCGCTGGCCCTCACGCGCTTTCCCCTGTCTCGGCCTCCTGGGAGGCCGTCGTCGCCACCGCTGGATTCGCCTCGAGGTCCCCCCCAGGAGCGGTCCGGGGAGCAGCGGCGGTCAGGACCTGTGGCGCAGCATCTTCGGGAGGCCTCGCTGGTCCCCAAGGCGGGTGTCTCTTCTTGTGCCCGACGTGGGCTCGGTGCGGACTCGGCGCGGGTTTGGCCCGGATTCGGCGCGGAATCGGCGCGGATTCGACGAGTCCGACATGGCTTCGACACGGATTCTGCACGGATTAAACGCGGTTAGCGGCGCGACGGGACAGAGAGGGTTCCCCGACGATGCACAAGAAGATGTGGGAGCAAGGGCAGATATCCCCAGACATGCTCGCGCCTCGAAGCAAAAAGCACGGCGGACGGTTTTGCGCCGGTTTCGGCTACTGGGAGCTCGCCGGGCCCGCTTGACGACTTAATTCAGTGGATTTTCCGATTCAAGATTGTGTCGGGAATGCGCCGCGAATGCGAAACGGCCGAAATTCCCGCCTCAGAGAAGTAGTGAGCGGATATTCCGCAGATGTATGGCGGAAGCAGCGACGGCAAAGTAGAGTGGAAGTCTATATCAGATGAGCTTGGAAGTAGGGCGGAAGTTTCCGCCCTACTTGTGAACTCACCAATAGTACTGCGGATCCGCAGTCAGGAAAGAAACCCTCCGACGTGCTCGCGTCGTAAACATAATCATGGCGGACGGTTTTTGGCCGTTTTCAGCCTCCTGGGGCCCTCGCCGGTCCCCAGGACCGTAAAACAACGACTCTGGACGAAACATTTGGCTCTGGGGAAGGCGTGGGGCTTTATTGGGACCCCGTGATCAAGACATCGGGTGTCTGTGCCGATGCCGCGGCTCGTCCTCGAGAGCCCTCGTCGTCATGGCTCGATTCCCCTCGATGTTCTGGTCAGCACGACCCCCAGGGAGAGGTCGGGGGGAGTATCAGTGTCGATGTCATATTGGTGGTAGCTTTCTTATCCATGGTTTTGCTGATCGGCGCGGGCCCTCGCACCCGCCCCCCCTGGATCAGATCTTGGCTGTTTCGGGCGCCTGTTTCGAGCAGGTGGAGCCTCCCCATATCTAAAACGAGCGCACTGTCTCACACAGTCGCGCTAAGCAGAGGGAGCCAGGCACCCCCCTCCTCCCCCTTCCGCCCAATGTCGAAACGCCGAATGAGAGAAAGTTCACTTGTCCCGACACGCAGAGGTCTGGACCCTCAGAGGTCTCGACCCATTCCTTTGGACCGGTTTTTCATCCTGAATCGTTTTTGACGCTCCCGAGGCCTGGTAGGGGCCCCCGGAGGCCGAACATAGCGAAGAACCTCCCGTCACGATTTTTTCATTACCCGAGGGGGTCTGGGGTTGGGGGTCGCTGCACCCCCCCAAAAGATTCGGAGAAGGCGGCGACCGCAGGTGTCGAGGGGAAGAGCAGCCAGGACTCGGGGCGACGAGATCCATGCACATCCGCCGCCACTGGCCAGGACTACCCTTGGACCAGGAGCGGTGCACATGCCTCCCTGGGCAAGCCAGGGAGGAGGAGGAGGAGGAGGAGGAGGAGGAGGAGGAGGAGGAGGAGGAGGACTGGGCCAGGATTCATCAGTGTCAGAGCCATCCCACCCCCCAACCCCAGCAGGGTTGGGATCAGCGCCGCGACGCCCGCAGGAGACGGCATCCGTCCCCGCCTGGCCAAGATTCGAAGCAGAAGCATCTGTACATAAGCATGATTTTTCGGAGGTCCGTGCGGACTTCTCGGATCGGCGCTGGACGACCCCTCCACCGGCGCCGTCCCCTGGCGGAGGGGTTGTCCAGCGCCGACACGAACAAAAACCGAGCGGGCCTCCAAACGTTTTATGTGTATGACGATGTTGTTAGTGTCATTTGCTTGCATCTCATCAGTAACATTGTTTCTCTTCTTATTATTGTTCGTTGTCTCTTCCCCTTATTCGTACTGTTGTCATTATTGTGAGTGCGATGATTCTTCTTATTATTGACAATATTCCTCCGCTTATTATAATTATTATGATTATTATTATTATTAGTATTATTATTATTATTATCATTGTTATTATTATTATTATCATTCGTAGTATTATTGTTCGTTTTCTTCTTCGTCTTCTTCCTCTTCTTCCCAGGATGGCGGCGCTGTGCTGTCCGTCATCCTCCCAGGGCGGCGGGGCACCGGCGAGTGCTCGTTCGCGCTGGCCAGGATCCGCGCGGCCCCCGGCGCTGGTGCTCACCCGGTGGCGCACGTGAGGCCGGGGGCGTCCCAAAGGGGGGAGTCGATGAGTGATTCAGAGGGCCCAGACCTACTCGGGCAATGAAAACATCGTGACAGAAGGCTTTTCGCTATGTTTGGCCTCCAGGGGCCCTTGCCGGGCCTCGGGAGCGTCAAAAGACAACTCAGGATGAAGAACCGGTCCAGGGGAATGGGTCGAGGCCTCTGAGGATGGACGTCAAGACAAAATCATGACGTCGGGGGTCTTGGGGGATAGGATTAGGTCGGGCGTGTCTCCCTACAGGGGGATTTCGGACGAAAAGTTTAAACTAGTCAAAAAATATTCCAAACAGATTCAAAAATAGCAAATAAATGGTCCCCCGACTATTTTTTTACTATTTTTGAATATCCGTAAGGGCTTCGCCCCCTGCCGCTGGCCCCCTCTCTCGGAGAATGGGCCATGGAAGAGCTAAGTCATGAGGCTTTGGCGCTGTCGTGCAGCAGTATCGGAACTTCATGCGAGGCCGATTCGCAATCGGCAAAACCAACTGATCACAAGAGGGGTTACCACACAGGGCGATTGGTAAGACGTGTATGGTTTACGAGCTTGGTTACCACACCTTGGGATTAAAGGGCCGAGGGAGTACTCGCAGTTTGGGTTACCACGCCTTGCGATGGATGTGCGTGAGGGGTGGCACCGAATTTCAGAAATGTGGCAAATCCCTGTGTTTTTGGACCCTGACCCCGCGGATCTGCGTGAGGGGTGGCACCGAATTTCAGAAATGTAGCAAATCCCCTGTGTTTTTGGACCCTGACCCCGCGGATCTGCGTGAGGGGTGGCACCGAATTTCAGAAATGTGGCAAATCCCCTGTGTTTTTGGACCCTGACCCCGCGGATCTGCGTGAGGGGTGGCACCGAATTTCAGAAATGTGGCAAATCCCATGTGTTTTTGGACCCTGACCCCGCGGATCTGCGTGAGGGGTGGCACCGAATTTCAGAAATGTGGCAAATCCCATGTGTTTTTGGACCCTGACCCCGCGGATCTGCGTGAGGGGTGGCACCGAATTTCAGAAATGTGGCAAATCCCATGTGTTTTTGGACCCTGACCCCGCGGATCTGCGTGAGGGGTGGCACCGAATTTCAGAAATGTGGCAAATCCCATGTGTTTTTGGACCCTGACCCCGCGGATCTGCGTGAGGGGTGGCACCGAATTTCAGAAATGTGGCAAATCCCTGTGTTTTTGGACCCTGACCCCGCGGATCTGCGTGAGGGGTGGCACCGAATTTCAGAAATGTGGCAAATCCCTTGTGTTTTTGGACCCTGACCCCGCGGATCTGCGTGAGGGGTGGCACCGGATTTCAGAAATGTGGCAAATCCCCTGTATTTTGGGACCTTGACCCCGCGGATCTGCGTGAGGGGTGATGATTTCGAGCCCCCCCCAGCAATTCAGACAACGCGCCCAGGGGACGCTAAAAAGTCCTGTTTGGGCCTCCCCCCCCCCTCGCGCGGTCAATCAACTAGTTACAGTAACCAGCAAGAAGCAGAACTGTAACACTGGAAACTACAAGCTACAACTGGTACAGGAAACTGCGAATCACGTGCCTCGCAGCCTGGTGGCCCCACAAGGGGGCCGGCGGATTCCTCCTGTAGAGGGACAGGCCCGACTGAAGGATAGGAGGAGGTGGATAGCATGGTCAGGGCCACGAGGCCTCCCAGGCTTCTGGTCCCTCTTCTTGAGGGGGCGGTGGGAGGTGGACATCACGACCAGGGCCATGAGATCGCCCAGGCATCGTGGTCCCCTCTCCTTGCTACCAGTATCACTCTTGCGCCACGAGTTCTCGGATGATGATGATGATGATGATGATGATGATGATGATGATGATGATGATGATGATGATGATGAGGATGAGGATGAGGATGAGATGGATGGATTGATATGATGAGATGAGAGGATATGAGGATGAGGATGAGGATGAGGATGAGATGAGGATGAGGATGAGGATGAGGATGAGGATGAGGATGAGGATGAGGATGAGGATGAGGATGAGGATGAGGATGAGGATGAGGATGAGGATGAGGATGAGGATGAGGATGATGATGAAGATGCTGATGATGATGATGATGCTGATGATGATGATGATGATGATGATGATGATGGTTATGATGGTGATGGTGTTGGTGATGGTGATGGTGATGGTGATGGTGATGATGGTGATGGGGATGGGGATGGAGATGGTGATGGTGATGATGATGCTGGCTGTTATCAGTCATATCATTCATATTGTTCTTAGTATTACTACCCGTATTATTATTATCATTATAACTCGTATGATCATGATGATGAGAAGTATTATTTTTATTATTCGTATTTTTAGTATTACTATTATAATTAGTATTACTATTAGTATTATTATCAGTATGGTTATTTTATAAGTATGATTATTATCATTACTATCAATATTATTATTGATACTATTATTATTATTTTTAATTATTATTATATTATTATTATTATTATTAAATTATCATATTATTATGCACATTCTTAGTATTATCATATTCCTTCTTCATCTGTCATCTTCTTATTTCTATGATTCTCCTCCTCCTTTCAGTGTGCTCCCTGCCCCCCCCCTTCCTCGACCGCGCCCATACCCATGCGTTGACGGCCCCGCCTTCGTGCCCCCCCCCCCCTCAAGAGCACTCCGGCGCCCCCGGCCCGACGAGGGCGCTGGTCGGCTGCGGCAAGGGCGCGCGGCTGGTGGCCGTGGGGGGCTCTGTCGTGGTCGCGGGGCGCATCGAGGCCGGCGTTCTGCGCCAGGCCGGCGCGCCCGGCCCGGCGGGTTCTGCGGGCGCAGCGGGGGCCGCGCCGTCCGCGGCGGAGCCCGCGCCAGCGCCGCGCGAGGCAGGCCGGCCTCAATTGAGGGAGCTGTGGTCCTGACCTCCCCAGGCCCCCTCAAAAAATGAAGCAATCATATGGCGGGAGGTTTTCCCCTATTTTCGGCCTCCAGGGCCCCTGCCGGGCCTCGGGAGGGCCCAAAAGCGAGTCAGGATGAAACATTGGTCCAGGGGAAGGGGTCCAGACCTCTGATGGCTGACGTCGTGAAAAAATCACGACGTCGGGGGTCTGGATCAGGGGCAACAACGTTCGAGGTTCGAGGTTTTCGGGCGTGTTCGTAGGGAGGCCCAGTTGTCCGCATCCACGGCCTGCCGGGGTCCCCGCAGAACGATGTCCCCGAGCGGTGGTGGTGGATCTCAGCGGCGGCACCTTCCGCGTGGAGGGAGGCGGAGGAGGAGGAGGAGGAGGAGGAGAAGGAGGAGGAGGATGAGGAGGGAGGGAAGTTGCAGGTCGAGCGGGAGCAGCGTCAGGGTTCGAAGGTCGAGGTCTTCGGGCGCCTTCGTCAGGCCTCGGCGGTGTTCTCGCCTCGGCGTGCGCTCGCCAGCAGCTGCGCCTCGCCGAGAGCGCTCCGGGGGTCTCGGGCTCGTCCCGAGCGGCCACCGGAGAGTGGCACTGTCACCCGAAAGCCAGGGGGGCAGCGTCAGGGGCAGATGAGCTCAGGGGGGGAGGCTTCAACCTCCAGTCACCCATCGATCGCCGAGAGGGGTTCTCAGCTCGCCCCGTCCCACCCCGCCCAGGAACGCACGGTTTCGCCATCGGGGTCTATCGGCGATGGGTCGCCGATTCCAGGTCGATGCCCCCCCCCCCACCCCACATGGGCCAGGCCCCCCCTACTGGTGCCCCTCACCTGGGGGATTCATCTGCTTTGACACTCCTCTCGAGAGGTAGTCGATAGTCGGAGGCCCTCAAGCCGGTGTGGTGACCACGCCGTGTGGTGAGTCGGTGGGGATTCGAGGTCATTCCGAGGTCCGAAGACCGTGCGGTGACGGACCGCGCATGCGGGCCTCCTGGGATCCCGAGGTCGCCACGCGGTCCGTCACCTCACGAGCTTTGGGGGCTCCCGAGATGCGCTGGGGGGGAGTCAGGGAGCACCGTCCCCCCGGCTGCGGCTGGTCGGGAAAAGGGCGCGGCTGCCGCGCAGGCCCCGAGGCCCAGGACGGAGGAGGAGCGCCTGGACCTCGTCGAGGAGCACCTCCGCAAGCGGGGCCGCACGCCCCTGCGGGCGCTGGGCAACGCCGTGCCAGCGCCGCGGCGCGCCCGGGGCCTGAAGGCCGCGCTGCTGCAGCAGCGGTGGCGCTTCCTGGTGGACCTGCAGGGCTGCGTGGACCTGAACCGCGCCCGCCGCTGGCGCTGGCGGTCGCAGCCCACTGCGAGGCGGGGACCTGCCCTCGGCCTGCACCTGCCGCAGCTTCCGCGCAGGAGGTGCCGCCGCGATGCGGCCGCGATGCGGCCGAGGCGGCGCGGCACCTGCCGCGCGGAGGGTGCGGAAGGTGCAGGCCGAGGGTGATCCATCACCTCCGCTTGGGGACAGTTCTTCGGGGACCTCGGGAGGCGGTGGCTGCGAATACACATGCCCCCCCCCCCCCAGGGGCCCCGGGGGGGGGGGGGGAGGGCAAGCGTAGACGTATCCACCGCCTGCCGAGGTCCCCCCCGAAGAACGATCCCCGGGCGTTGGAGATGGCTCGATCCCCGCCTCGCACCCATCGCCTCGAAGCGGCGCCCTGCAGGCGGCGGCGGCGGCGGCAGAGCGGCGGGGTGGGGCGGCGGCGGTGCGTGGCGGCCGGGCCGCTGACGGGCCGGAATGGCAAAAAGCGCAGCGGGGTCTGCCCGGCCTCCCGCACTGCTGGCGCAAACGGGTCTGCGCTCGCGCGGCCCGCGCCACGGAGGCGTCCTTCTCCAGGGTGGCGGCGGCGCGAGAGCGCAAAAATGTGATTCACCGCGCTTCGCGCAGCGCAGCGGGAGGCTGCAAGCCAGAACGCCTGGGAGCTGCAACGCTGACGGCCACGGCCAGCTGAATTGGCTGGGGAGGAGGAGGAGAAAGAGGAAGAGGGGATGGACGAGCAGAAGGTGGAAGAAGAGGCGGAGGAGCATGACGAGGAGGATGAGAGAAGGATGGGCTGAGGATGAGGAGGAGGAGGAGGAGGAGGAGGAGGAGGAGGAAGAGAGAGGAGGAGAGGAGGAGAAGGAGGAGGAGGCGGAGGGAGAGGAGGAGGAGGCGGGAGGGAGGGCGGCGGCGAGGCGAGGCGGCGGAGGAGAGGAGGAGGAGGAGGAGGAGGAGGAGGAGGAGGAGGAGGAGGAGGAGGAAGAAGTGGACAAGGTGGAGGATACCCAAGTCTAGACGCTCAGCGCATCCAGCATCCATCGTCTCGCTCAATTTCTGCATTGCCTAAAGCACGCTGGCCTTGCCTGGTGTCGTCTGCTCTGGCAGGTGTGGCTTGCGCTCGCTGGTTGCTTGTGGTCTAACCGGGGTGGAGTGTTATTTGGGGCGCTCTTGTCTGAGTTCTCTGGTCTTTTCTGATACGAGCCCTGATCCCCTTTTTTGTTTTTTGGTTATGGACATCTGGACGCGAGAGTCGGATCGAAAAAGGTGCGACTCGTCGAGTGGTTCTGTCCTCTTTACCTCCTCGTCGTTCTCGTACTCTCATCGGTCACGGCGGTTCCTCTGTCGACGTGCCTGTCCTCCTCCCGTGCTCTGGGCTGTGTCCTCCTGTTCGTGCTTCCCTGTCGCGAGCCCGTTCCTCCCTGGACGGCGAGGCAGGCGGCGGAGGTGGGAGGAGAGAGAAAAGGGCAGGGGGAGGGAGGAGAGAGAGAGGCAGGAGAGAGAGAAAAGGGCAGGGGGAGGGAGGAGAGAGAAAGAGAGAGAGAGAGAGAGAGAGAGAGAGGAAGGAGAGAGAAAAGGGCAGGGGGAAGGAGGATATAGAGAGAGAGGAAGAGAAAAGGGCGGGGGGAGGGAGGAGAGAGAGAGAGAGAGAGAGAGAGAAGCCAAAACAAAAAAGGCAGGGGAGGGAGCAGAGAGAGAGGGGAAGGAGAAGCGTGGCCTGTCTGTCAGCCCCCTCGTCACTCCAAGAACTCAGAGGGAGGGGCGTCCCAGAGTGGGGCAGCCCCTTCACGGGACGTCCAACTCCCGGAGGGTTGGCGCGATTTTGAAGAACTCTCAGACGGTCCATGGTGATCGTTTTTTACGGGCGCAGCCCGTAATTTGATTCTCGCGAGGTAAACTGACTGAACTGAACTGAACTGAACCACTACAACCGTAGATGGCAGTTTTTGTTTTTGGGGTGAGGATATTTGGGCGGCAGTTTTGAGTTTGACGCCAGCGGGTGAGGATATTTTGGGAGGCCGTTTTGAGAAGAGGGTGAGGATATTTGGGGGGTAGTTTTCCACGACGGGCGGTGAGGATATTGCGGGGGCAGTTTTAGGCCAGGGAGGGTGAGGATACTCGGGCGGCAGTATGAAGTTTGACGTCAGCGGGTGAAGATATTTTGGGAGGCAGGTTTAAGCCAGCGAGGGAGGATATTTGGGAGGGCTAGTTTTCCGCCAGGGGCGGTGAGGATCTTTCGGGTGCAGTGTTAGCCCAGGGGCGGTGAGGATATCTGGGCGGCACTTTTACTTCCGCGGGTGAGGATATTTCGGTGGCAGGTTTAGTTCCGCGGGTGAGGATGTTTCGGTAGCAGTTTCAAGCCAGTGGATGAGGATATTTCGGTGGTAGTGTTAAGCCAGCGGGTGAGGATATTTCGGTGGCAGTCTTAAGCCAGCGGGTGAGGATAGGCATTTTTAAGCCCGCGGGTGAGGATATTTCGGTGGCCGTTTTTAGTCAGCGGGTGAGGATATTTCGATGGCAGTCTTCTTTCCGCGGGTAAGGAAATGTCGGTGGCAGTGTTAAACCAGCGGGTGAGGATATTTCGGTGGCAGTTTTAAGCCAGCGGGTGAGTAGATTTCGGTGGCAGTTCTATTTTCGCGGGTGGCGATATTTCGGTGGAAGTTGTATTTCCGCGGGTGAGGATATTTCGGTGGCATTTTTAAGCCAGCGGGTGAGGATATTTCGGTGGCAGTCTTAAGCCAGTGGGTGAGGATATTTCCGTGGCAGTTTCAAGCCAGCGGGTGAGGATATTTCGGTGGCAGTTTTAAGTCAGCGGGTGAGGATATTTCGGTGGCAGTCTTAAGCCAGCGGGTGGGGATCTGTTGGTGGCCGTTTTTAGTCAGCAGGTGAGGATATTTCGGTGGCAGTTTTAAGCCCGCGCGTGGGGATATTCCGGTGGCAGTTTTAAGCCCGCGGGTGAGGATATTTCGGTGGCAGTTGTATTTCCGCGGGTGAGGATATTTCGGTGGCCGTTTTAAGCCAGCGGGTGAGGAAGTTCCGGTGGCAGATATATTTTCGCGGTTGACGATATTTCGGTGGCGGTTTTAAGTCAGCGGGTGAGGATATTTCGGTGGCAGTGTTAAACCAGCGGGTGAGGATATTTCGGTGGCAGTCTTAAGCCAGCGAGTGAGGATATTTCGGTGGCCATTTTAAGTCAGCGGGTGAGGATATGTCGGTGGCAGTTCTAAGCCAGCGGGTGAGGATATTTCGGTGGCGGGTTTAAGTCAGCGGGTGAGGATATTTCGCTGGCATTTTTAAGCCAGCGGGTGAGGATATTTCGCTGGCGGTTTTTAGTCAGCTGGTGAGGATATTTCAGTGGCAGTTTTAAGCCCGCGGGTGAGGATATTTCGGTGGCAGTTTAAGTCAGCGGGTGAGGATGTTTCGGTAGCAGTTTTAAGCCAGCGGGTGAGGATATCGGTGGCAATTTTCAGCCAGCGGGTGAGGATTATTCGGTGGCAGTTTTAAGCTAGCGGGGGAGGAGGAGGAGGAGGAGGAGCAGGAGGAGGAGGAGGAGGAGTGAGGAACCGAGAAGAGCTGTGCTCGGCGCGGGCATCCAGCCGCCACGCGATGCGTCATTCGCTTGGTTGGCCCAGCCGACGGCTACGCATCCAGCGCGGTTCTGCGCCCGCATATATGCTCGCGCCTTGGCGTGGGGCTGGCGGGGGGCCAAGGGGCGAGCTGTCCGTTGATTTTTACCTAACAGCGAAGACTGATAGGTTTCTAGTGGGTTCAAAAGAGAGCATCATGACTCCACAGGGGAGTCTGGGCAGATGCCAGACCGGTGCCGCGGGAATCTGGGGACTCCTTTTTTAGCCAACAGTAACGCACTTCGTGGTCTTCGAGTTCCCAGAACTCCATTCCTGGGCATGATTTTGAATGCCCGGAGCCAACTGTAGGCCACTGCATGGTCTTCGAGTTCCCAGAACTCCATTCCTGGGCATGATTTTGAATGCCCGGAGCCAACTGTAGGCCACTTCATGGTCTTCGAGTTCCCAGAACTCCATTCCTGGGCATGATTTTGAATGCCCGGAGCCAACTGTAGGCCACTTCGTGGTCTTCGAGTTCCCAGATCTCCATCCCTGGGCATGATTTTGAATGCCCGGAGCCAACTGTAGGCCACTTCGTGGTCTTCGAGTTCCCAGAACTCCATTCCTGGGCATGATTTTGAATGCCCGGAGCCAACTGTAGGCCACTTCGTGTTCTTCGAGTCCCCAGAACTCCATTCCCGGGCCACATTTTGAATGCTGAGGCAGGCTGAGGCTGAGGCTGAGGCATGCAGGCTGAGGCTGAGGCAGGCTGAGGCTGAGGCCGAGGCTGAAGGCAGACTGAGGCTGAGGCTGAAGCAGGCTGAGGCTGAGCAGGCTGAGGCTGAGGCTGAGGCTGAGGCAGGCTGATGCTGAGGCAGGCTGAGGCTGAGGCTGAGGCGGATGCAGGCTGAGGCTGAGGCAGGCTGAGGCTGAGGCCGAGGCTGAAGGCAGACTGAGGCTGAGGCTGAAGCAGGCTGAGGCTGAGGCTGAGGCAGGCTGAGGTGAGGCAGGCTGATGCTGAGGCAGGCTGAGGCTGAGGCTGAGGCTGATGCAGGCTGAGGCTGAGGCAGGCTGAGGCTGAGGCCGAGGCTGAAGGCAGACTGAGGCTGAGGCTGAAGCAGGCTGAGGCTGAGGCTGAGGCAGGCTGAGGCTGAGGCAGAGGCAGGCTGATGCTGAGGCAGGCTGAGGCTGAGGCTGAGGCTGATGCAGGCTGAGGCTGAGGCAGGCTGAGGCTGAGGCCGAGGCTGAAGGCAGACTGAGGCTGAGGCTGAAGCAGGCTGAGGCTGAGGCTGAGGCAGGCTGAGGCTGAGGCTGAGGCAGGCTGATGCTGAGGCAGGCTGAGGCTGAGGCTGAGGCTGATACAGGCTGAGGCTGAGGCAGGCTGAGGCTGAGGCCGAGGCTGAAGGCAGACTGAGGCTGAGGCTGAAGCAGGCTGAGGCTGAGGCTGAGACAGGCTGAGGCTGAGGCTGAGCAGCTGAAGCTGACAGGATTGGAGGCCGAGCGACTATGCAGGTGAGGCTAGCAGCTAGGCCTGTGCCACTGAGGCCAGACTGATGCGATCGAAACAGCCTTGAGGCTGAGGCTGAGCAGGCCTGAGCGAGCAGAGCAGGCTGAAGCTGAGGGAGCAAGGCTGACGCTGAGGCTAGCTGAGCAGGCTGAGCGAGGCTGGGCACGGAGGCTGAGGCAGGCTGAGGCTGAGGCTGAGGCAGGCTGGATGCTGAGCAACTGAGGACTGAGGCCGAGGCTGCAGGCAACTGAGGCTGAGTCTGAAGCAGGCTGAGCTGAGGCCCTCCTCAGCTGAGGCGAGCTGAGCAGCTGAGGCTGAGGCTGAAGCAGGCTGATGCTGAGGCAGGCTGAGGCTGAAGCTGAGGCTGATGCAGGCTGAGGCTGAGGCAGGCTGAGGCTGAGGCCGAGGCTGAAGGCATACTGAGGCTGAAGCAGGCTGAGGCTGAGGCAGGCTGAGGCTGAGGCTGAGGCTGAAGCAGGCTGATGCTGAGGCAGGCTGAGGCTGAGGCTGAGGCTGATGCAGGCTGAGGCTGAGGCAGGCTGAGGCTGAGGCCGAGGCTGAAGGCAGACTGAGGCCGAGGCTGAAGGCAGACTGAGGCTGAGGCTGAAGCAGGCTGAGGCTGAGGCTGAGGCAGGCTGAGGCTGAGGCAGGCTGAGGCTGAGGCTGAGGCAGGCTGAGGCTGAGGCTGTGACTGCGACTGCCGTTGCCACTGCGACTGTCATTGCGAATGCGACTACGACTGCGAGAACAGCAGAATTCTACAACTGGATTCTCATCTGAATCTTAAGGGGAATGCTTCCAGAAATGCTCCTACACATCGCTGTTAGGTTGCTTTGCCGGGATAATATTCATTGCTTTGTCGATCCGCGCGGGCCCTCCCCCTAGAGTAGATCTTGGTTGTTTTTGGCGCCTGTTTCGAGCAGGTGGAGCCTCTCCTCCCTAACGGACGCACTGCTGCAGACGGCCGCACTAAGCAGAGGTCTGGAGCCAGAGCCCCACCCCCCTCTTCCCCTCTTGCCGCCCAACGTCGAAACACCGAATAAGAAAAACGCTCGCTTTTTTCCCCGCGGCAGCGTGGCCGCGTCTCTCTAAATCTCCAGGGCGCCAGGGCTCGGTGGGAGAAGCCCAGGCCGCTTCTCTCTAAGTCTCCAGGGCGCCAGGGCTCGGTGGGAGAGATCCACTCTTTCCCCTACC